GTACCCCACCTGTGACATTAATCCAATTTGACTGAACTCCATTTGTAACAACCCTCTGCTTTCTTCCATCCAGCCACTCTTCTATCCAATTTGCTAACTTATCCTCCACACCTATAGAGCTATGTGGCACCTTGTCAAATGCTTTCAAAAAACCAGATTCACTAAACCTACACCCTTATCCTCATCTACATAAGCAGTAACCTTTTCAAAGAATGTTAAAAGATTTGTAAGGCAAAAATTTCCCTTAGTGTTGACTATCCAATAAAATTCTAAACATTGTTAAATGACTTTGCAAAGCATCTTTTAACAGACTTTTCAAAACTTTTCCCGCAACTAATGTAAGAGTAATGGGTCTATGATTACTGGGACAATTTTTATCACCTCCCTTGAAAAGAAGAGTTATATTAGCTAACTTCCAATCCTCTGGTACTTGCCCACTATTCAAAACTGACAAAAAATAATAGTAAGTGGCTCACATATACAATCTTTAACCTCCTTCAAACTCCTTCAAAATATTATCTGGCCCAGGAGCCTTATCGATTTTTAAACTTACCAATTTTTTCTTAATCAGCTCAAAATTAATGCAGTAATAATGTTTGATCTCATTTCCATTTATCATCTGATTAAGATGTGGAATACTGCTTAAATCTTCATTTGTAAAAACTGAAGAAAATGTAAATTTAATAACCGAGCCATCTCATAATCATCAGATACTAGCCTTCCTTTACCGTCCCTCAAGGGTCCTACCCCCATCCTAACATTTTGTTTCCCCTTAATGTATTTAAAGAAATCCTTACTGTTAATTTTTACATTTTCAGCCAACCTTTTCTCACACATCATTTTTGATGTCCTAATTTCCTGTTTCACCAACTTTCTTGATCTTCTATAATCTTCTAAGTCTCCTGTCATACCAGTCAATTTAAATTTCTTAAATTTATGATGCTTTTCTCTAATTTTATTTCTTAAATTCTTTGTGAGCCAACCTGGTTTTTTACTTTCTTTCTATTAGGAATATGTTTGCATTGAATATTTAAAAATATATCTTTAAAAATTTTCCACACCTGATCAGTGTATCCAAATAACTCAGCTGCCCAATTCACAACAGATAACTCTTGTCACAACTCTTCAAAATGGATCTAGGTTCTAATAAACATGTTAATTCTAGATTATCAAGAGACAACATACTAATTTTTAGATTCTATTTATTTAATAAAACAATGTATTTATCTTGTTTTACAATTCACCAGTGAGTATAATATACCTTAGCTTAAAGTACTTTTAAATGTACTAAGCCTATTTTAAATTAGAATGTTGTAATAATAATAATTTACTCCCTCAAACTCTTAACTTAAAACTTTGATCATCTTACTTTTATTTACCTATCTTATTATATCTATTTATTATGGTGTTATTTATCCCAAATTACTACAAATTATAATCATAATATTAAATAACTTTCAGAAATCTACAAGCTTAACTTTTCAACATCTTCCTTCTTCAGCTGCAATGTTTTTGCTTTCAGTCAAAGTAGAAGGAAGGGTTGTTACAAATGGAGTTCAGTCAAACTGGATTAATGTCACAAGTAGGGTACCTCAGGGCTATCTTAGGACCTTTGCTCTTTTTTGATTTACTTCAATGACATAGATGAAATGATAGTCAATAAAGTACTTAAATTTGCAAATGATATTAAGGTCTTAGGTGTTGCTAGCTGTAAAGAGGATGCTGCTGATTTACAAAAGGATTTAGATTATTTAGTGAGTTGGGCAAATAAATGGCAGACGGGTTTTAATTATAATAAATGCAAGGAAATGCATGTAGGTTATCATAATTTGAATTATAAGTATAATTTGTATGGGAATAACCTTAATAGTATTATGAAGGAAAGGGATCTTGGTGTAATAGTCGATCAGTCTCTAAAACCATCCAAGCAGTGTGCTGTTGCTAGTGGTAAAACAAATAAGATTACAGGTTGTATTTGTATAAATATTGAATACAAGCCTAAAGAGGTTATACTTTCATTGTACAGGTCACTGGCTAGGCCACATTTGTAATATTGTGTTCATTCTTGGGCTCATTACATCAGGAAAGACATTGAATTGTTGGAAAGAGAACAATTAATAGAATGGTGCCTGGGATAGAGGAGTTGTCATACAACGAGAGGCTGAAATCTCTCAAGTTGTTTTCTCTTGAAAAACAGAAGAGTTAGGTTGGATCTGATTGAAGTGTTTAAAATTTTAAAGGGAATTGATGGTGTTGATGTATCATCTTTTTTCATATTTAACAGTGAGATTAGTAGGACTAGGGGACACAAATATAAATTTTGGCAAGGTAGTAGTCATCTTTAGCTATGACAGTTTCATTTTTCTAACAGGGTGGTTGGCCTTTGGAATGAGTTGCCTTCGGAT